TTTAAATTTTATTTTTGTGTGCGTGTACCATCAAATCAGATCTGACTGGTACTGGAGGAGATTGCTCCTCCTTCCCTGGCAGAGCATCTGGTGGATTCGAACCATGCACCTCTGGGATTGTAGTTGCAGCTTCTTGCCACTAGGCCACCAGAGCTCCCCTGTCTAACAGGTTTTAAATAAAGACATTTTTTTCTTTATATGGTGGGGATTCTGGGTTGTTGTGTTTTGTTTGTTGGTTATTGTTTTTTATTTGTTAGCTTGTTTCACTGAAAGTATCATTCAATTAACTGTTTTCTTTGTTTTTCTGTAGATTATTGCTTGGCTTAGAGTATGCCCTGCTGGTTTGGTGGACTCCCAAAGTAGAGCATCAAGGGGGATTCCCTTTATATTACTATATTACGGTGCTGTTGAGCTATGCATTACATCAGGTAAGCTGGCTGTGGTTTTCTTCAGGAAGCTTTTATATACGATAAAGAAGACATTTTTTGTATAATCACCTTAAATAATGATAATAAAGGTTAAGAATAAATTGAAGTGTGAAAATGACACTAGGAAAGTTATTTGAGGACAAACTTTAAACTTGTGACTTCTGATTTAGTGAATTCTGTTCTTGAAAGACATTTCCCTGCTTATTAATGTTTTTTTCATTTAATGAGTATTTGTTACATATCAAAGTTAATTCCAAGGCCACACGTGATTATACTCTTGGTAAATATCCCCAAGCCCATGCCTAGATGAGAGTGTTTTAATTCACGGAGGCTGGGTGTCAAATCTCTTTCCTTTCCTCCCTTCCTCCTTTATTTTGCTTATACTGAATTCATGCTTAATAGTTTTTTTCAGTCTTCTTTCACTGTAATTGAACGAACACGATCAAGTAATAGTTCAGAAATAACTTCTGTGTTGGGGTTTTATTTGAAGATTTCTTGAAGTGTAGTCAATAAAATTCAACCAAATGCTTCATGGAAAGAAAAGTACAAAAAAAGTCCTACAAATGATGTATGACATAGCCTTGCTCCTCCTTAAGGTCTGTCTTAACCTTGCCTTCCGCAAATACCAGTGGACCATATCATTAAGTAATAAAACAGAATGGAATAAATCTTACAAATCTCCTTGCCCTCAGGGACCTTTTATTTTAAGCACTTTCCCTAAGGCCTACAGCAAAAGGAATCTGTGTACTGTAGTTTCTCTCTGTCTTCCTCGACTTTGGAATTCCTTTTTCTATGAACACAGTATGGAACAGCAGCCAAGGGAATGCTGTTTGGAAACAGTTCCTTGCTCTTAAGCAGGAGGTCCATTTGCTTTCTCCCATTTTGACATCTTGTTGTTGTTGTGTGCCGTTGAGTCGGAACCGCCCCATAGCAGACCCTCTGACGGGTCTTCAGAGGCAGTTAACCGCACGGGAGAAGATTGATCCTTCTCCTGCCGAGCGCTTGGAGGTTTTTCCTCCTTCAGTTTGTGACATAAGTTTTGAAATGCTGCTTTTCACGGATATCTAAGAAAAATATTTGTGTTCCTTTGAATATTTTCCTGTATCACCCAAAACCTAGAACTTCCTCACGGTCAAGTCAGAGCTGCCTCATCGCCCGCCCTCCAGTCTGCAGGATGGAGTTGCCCACCTTTCTCTCTTGGTGGATTCAAAGCACCACAGAGGCCGCCACGTTTGGGCTAGCAGTGCAGCAGCACTCTGGGCTGTGCCACCAGAGCTCCCTTAGAGATACGTCTGTCATGTCAGTCGGCACTGACCCACAGCCGACCCTCCAGTGGGTTTTCAGAGGCACTTAGGCCATGGGAGGAGAATGCCCATCCTTCTCCTGCGGCACAGTCGCAGGCCTCGAACTGCTGCCTTCAGGACTGCAGCACAGCTTCTTGCACTGAGCCACTAGAGCTCACTATGTGCATAAACGCAGGAGATACACAATCAGGCACAAAAATGTGGGCGTGGCTTACATTTCTCAGGTGTCCTTCAATACCTTCTCTGTTAGTTTCTTTGTCTAGTCTTCCCTTAACTGCTTTTGATAGAATGTTTGTCAGTTATGCTTCGTATGTGTACTTCTTTTATAGTACTTACCACATTTCTTCATTATTTATTTCTTGTTTTTCTAATTTAGAATACATTCTTCAAAGGCTGAGTGACTGTGTTTTACTTGTCATTTTAGTTAGCCATACTCTGAAGACTGGCTTTTAGTAGGTGTTTCTCCATAACTGTTTCTTGCATTCATGCCAGTAAGAATCATGAAAAGTCATTTTTAGGCTTTGAGAACAGCGTTCTTAATTCAGATCTTAGTGTATCGAGGGGGGGAAATTAGCCTAATCATACTAAAGATATTTTACATTTTGCCGTAGGTGACGTTGTACAGCATGTACGTTTCTATAATGGCTTTCAATGCCAAGGTCAGTGATCCTCTTATTGGGGGAACATACATGACGCTGTTAAACACTGTCTCCAACCTGGGAGGAAACTGGCCTTCGACAGTAGCTCTTCGACTTGTGGATCCGCTCACAGTGAAAGAGTGTGTAGGAGCCTCGAACCAGAGTTGTAAGACACCCGATGCGGTTGAGGTGAGTGTGTTTTCATTTCAGTAACAGAGGGAGATGGACAGTCCACTCCCATGCAGTTTCCAGCTTCTAAAAGCCCATTGGAGGGTCAGCTATGAGGATATTCCGATTCGATGACAATGCATTTGAGTTTGAAACATAAAGCTAATATTGACATTCACATACAGTCATTTGCTTCCAGTAGGACAATACCTTTTTGATTTTTGAAAAAAAATGTCTCCTCATGGTTTCTAGTGTAGAAATCTACATTTCTTTTTCTTGTACGAGATGTAGTTCCTTAAAAATGGAGAGCTGTCACAGCCTTGGCTCACCTGACAGAGCTTCTCAGCTAGGTGAGGCACAAGCTCTCTTCTCCACCTTTTTTTTAACCTTTATTTTATTTTTCTTGTTGTAAGCCTTGGTTGCTGTGATGCTGAAGCCTGTGACAGTGATGTGCCAATCATGGTAATAGGTACCCATGGTGGACAGTGTTGGCTGGAGCTTCCCGACTAAATCAAGCCTGGAAGCAGGAGCGGCATCCACTTCCGACATGGCTTGCCTCTGGAAACTCTATGTACAAACAGTGCTCAGGCTGTTCGTTCACAGGGTCGCTATGAGTCGTTACGACTCGACAGCACCAAACAACAACAGCAACAAGCCTTTGAATCGGATCGACTAGCAAAGGAGGAGATTGCCCCTCCTTCTCCAGCAGAACATTTGGTGGATTCGAACACCTTGCCTTTGGCGTTGCAGTGCAGCTTCTTGCCACTAGGCCACCAGAGCTCCCTTCTCTCCTCCAGCTTAAGAATCACTGCTCTGTGCAGTAGGCACTGAAAAAAGAATTTTTTTAACATAAGTGCATGATTAACAGTTGGATTTTACAGCAATAGAAAAAGCCTGTTATTTAACACTTAAGAGCTAAAACCTTTGTTGGTATTTAAAAGTAACAGTAGTCTTACTTTAGGAGTCAGTTCATTGGGTATTTCTTCACATTTCCGGATATGAAAAGCTGCATCATGAAAATGATTACTGATTGCAGAAAGCACTAAAAATTTTTCTATTTCATTATTATTGTCATTGTTGTTATTATACCATAAAGTGAGTTTTCCATTTTATTATTATTGTTGTTGTGTACCGTAGTTAACCCTCCAGCAGGTTTTCAGAGGCAGTTAATTACACGGAAGGAGAGTGCCCGTCTTCCCTGCAGAGCAGCTGGTGGGCCCAAACCACACACTTTGGGGATTTTTGCGGAATTTCTTGCCACTAAGCTATCAGAGCTCCCTTTATTAGCATTAGAGATAATCTAATTTATTAATATATTTCACCATTTAAAGTAAACATTTTATACTTTCAAATATTATAATAGCAGTATTTTTGTTAGTCCTGTCCATTATAATCTGAAGGCATCTTAATTGCATAATACGAATTATAAATTATATCTTTTCATTTTTTTACAGCTTTGCAAAAAACTTGGTGGCTCATGTATTACAGCACTGGATGGCTATTATGTGGAATCTGTTGTTTGTGTTTTAATTGGATTTGGTTGGTGGTTCTTTCTTGGTCCAAAATTTAAAAAGTTACAGGATGAAGCACCATCTTCATGGAAGTGCAAGAGGAACAGTTAATTGAAGTGTACACTACAGGAAGTTCTAAGAAGGTACTAGTCGGATAGTTCCAGTACAGAGGGCTCCTGATAATCAGTGCACACAAGTATGAAATGCTATTTAAACAAGGAAATCATTAATATAAAAATGCCAAATGGTTGAAAAATAGAGGTTTCTTTGTATAATTGATTATATTTTGACTTGCCTTGTCAGTGTATTTAAAAGTTTACGTAAGGTCAAGACATTGGTTCTAAGACAGCTTTTCTGGCCTTGTTATTTGATTTATATCTTTTTAATTTACTGACCAAAGCATGTTTTAAGCCGTAATGCAGTAGTCATGGAAATGGTAACCATGCAGACAAGTATTGTTATCAGAACGTAGCAATGACCTGTGTTTAAAATTTCAGTAGAGTGTATAAATGGGACAAACTAGATATTCAGGTACTAATTAAAACTAGTCTGATCTTGTTGATGGCTAAAATCTTATTTTAAATCACAAATTGAGTAAATATTATATGGAATATGCTGAGAAGAGAATGCAGACTACTGAAATACCATTTTAGTTGTTATTTTGCAACCATAATCACATTGTAAGGAGTGAAACTGTATTAAAAAAAAAAGACTATTTTAAATGTATTTCCAGCTTTTGTAAGCATTAAAGGTTTATAAGAAGATTATTCAAATTATTTTTTATAAAACAAAAGCTATGATTTTTAATTTATTGATTTCTGCTGCCTTCACCTTTTTTGGAAGACATTTTGATTCCTTGTTAACTTTACCCTAAATCTTTCCAGATATGTTTTGTCACAAGTGCTTCACAGGACACAAAACCAGTAAGGGATCAATTGAATGTTGTATGTGTGTTCATGGCAAAGTTTTGGAAATAAAAGTTAAGTGTTATTCTTCAAGTGTATTTTTTTTAATTAAGAGAAAATAATAATGATGCTTTCCTATTAAGTAAAGTTTAGTAATAATATAATTTTAGAAACTTAATTTTTTAACGAGTGATAAAAACATTTTGTGCCTTTCAGAAATTAAATCTGTGGTAGAAGAGTGTTTCTTAACTCTAAGCACTTTCCCAGTGAGAAAAAAGTCTCACTGGATGCCAAGTCGGGTACTGTATTTCCAGGTATTAAAATACAGCCTTCTATTTATGAACTGTAATTGCCAGTGGAGACTTGCTCTCCCAGGAAACTGTTCTTTTGAGGACCTTAGCATGCATAGCATATATACATCTGGTGGCAGGATTCTTACCATATTTTTGTTGTTCACTATTCCAACTCTCAAAGACTATAAATCCTGAAAAATTTGGAGAAAATGAGAGGTTAGTTTAGGAGTCTTGCTAGGTAACGTTTTCTTGGTGGGGAAATAAAAACTAATTCCTGACTTTGTAACTTAGGTTGAATTTGAGAGTGGGGATTTTATAATAATGGAGAATAAATGGGTGGGAGAGAATGGTTATCTGCATCTGAAGAGAGACAGCGTGTAGCGTCCAGCACATTGTCCCTGGGAAGTATGCCGAGGGCGAAGTTCTCAGAGCCTCAAGAGTCATCCCGAAAAGCGCTCATCCTAGAAGCAAGGGGGCCATGCCAAACCACAGATTACAACATATTGTCACATCGATATTTCATTATCATGTATTATTATCAAAGTGCTTACTTGAATAAAAGAGACCTATACCACTTAGGTGTGAAATGTGTTTTAATTTTTAGCTTTTTCGTTAAATCCTAGACTGCCATGATTGCACCTTATTTCTTCCCCTCCCTTTTCTGAATTTCAGATACCGTTTTATAAATATAAACGGGACTGACGTGAGGGTTGGGGGAAAAACGAAGAAAAAGGATAAATAATGTGCACAGCATTGAAACAGATGAGGGAGAGAACTGTCTAAAAGGAATATATGGTTGGGTATTATTGGCACGACAGGAGTCCAGAATGAGAGCCGCATAGTAAAGTGGACTGGGGGTGCGGGGAGGGGGGGAGCGGACTGTATAACAATGAAAGAATTTTTTTTCCAAAGAAAAAAGCAAACTGGAAGGTGGGGGGCAGGAGGGCAGGGAGGAAAATGTGCAACAATGATTGAATGGAAATCCAAGTTCTCTATAAACTTTCAGTTAAAATCTCAATGTTAAAAAAATAGCATTAGTGTTAGTATTCTAATAGTATTAGAAAATACTAGGCACTGGTGGCATAGTGACAAGGAGTTGAACTGCCAACCCGGAGGCATGCTCTTGCAATCCACCAGCTGCTTCATGGAGCAAAGTGGGGAAATCTGGGTAATGTACAGCCTCTGAACACACCAGAATGTCAGCGGTGGGTCGGCTCCATCGCCACGGCGCAAAACCAACAACAAAATACCATTTTTGTATGTTTTCCTTTGTTAACAAATAAATTTCCTCAATCTTATCCTCAAGCATGAATATGTATTAAGTATATATATTATGAACATATGTCTCTGGTACATCTTCATTTGTACTTTGTACGTAGTGTGTGTTGTGTGTTTCTTACATGATTAGCTAAAGCAAAAAATTCTCTCCTTTGTACATATTTTAATCTTGCCTAGTCAATCATGTTGGAAGCAGGAGTGGCATCCCCTTCCGTAAATAGCTTGCCTCCGAAAACCCTATGAACCTGGAGCAAGGATGAAAGTCACGCAAGTGTTGAGGACTTTCATTCATAGGGTCAGTCACCTAAGACTCATGGCATTTAACAACATAGAGACCAGTTGGCCTAGTGGACAGAATGTGATGCTACCAAGCCAAAGGTAGCTGACTCTAATCCATGGCCCTCAGGCCTGTCTTTAATTGTTTTTGGTCAAACATTCTTCTAGATTATAAAACCCTGGTGTGTCCACTTGCCCTACAGAGGTAACCTGTGACCTCTGTGAAGCTGAGCACTGTGACACTGATGAGTCAAATGTGATAATGGTTACCCATGGCGGACAGTGTGTGGTGGGGTTCCCTGGTTAAAACAAGCTTGGAAGCAGGACTGGCATCCACTTCCAAAAATAGCTTGCCTCCGGAAACCCTATGAACCTGGAGAGAGGATAAAAGTCACACAAGTGTCAAGGACTTTCCTTCATAGGGTCGCTGTGAGTTGCCTACGCCTCGAGGGCACTTAACAGTAAAACTTGCTCAAAAGTTTATATATATTTAGAATTTTAAGTCTGTTGCTGAGTTTTCTGCCTTATTTGTAATGGCTTTTTGTCTTAACACGTAACAGTATGCCCTGAAACTCCGAAAATTATTGCAAAACCCTGAGTATGTACTCTTTGTCTGGAGAGGATTGTTTTTAAAATACCTTGAATGATCTGGGATTTTTTTTTTTAAAAGTGTAAAAACTATGGCTTTATGGGATGTTGACTATATTGTAAATCATAAGCATTAATTTGAGATCATAACTGAAGTTTTTTTAAATTGTCCTGAAAACAGTATTGAAAGTGTTGCAAATTAGAAAAGCACTACAACCTTAGTACTGAATTTTAACTCAGTGAGATAAAATATTGCCAGAAGAAAAGAGATTAATCTGTGGGCGGTGCAGATGGTTAATGGAAGCAGACTAGCTCAAGGCTACTCCCCACTGGCACCTTGGGGAAAAAGGCAGGGATGCGACAGCACCCAGCCCCTCACTGGGCAAGACCATACGCTTCAGCGTGTTCAAGATTACTAAGGAGCTTCCCAGAGGTTTGGAGTCTGCCCACCTCCCTCTCAGATGAAAGAAAATTGGTCCCCCCCCATTTAAAACAAAAAACTACGCAGCAATGCAATAGTTGTAGAAGCAGAGCCAAAGACAGGTAGTCTAGGTAATTTCTGATGTTTCATGTCCCATATGGATACTTCTTTGTATACATATTTCCAAAAAAAATACTAGTCCATCGCATAAAAGACCTGTATTAACCATTTAATTCCCTCCCCCCACCCACTTTGGATAGATTTCAGTTTGAAAGTTTTATTTTGCCTTTTTAACAGAAATTTTAAAAGTATGTTCTGCTTTGTACTGGTTATAGACATTGAATATAACAGATGCCAAAAAATAAATTTTGTTATTAAATTTTCCAAAATACTTGAAAAAATGATTAGCACATAACCTGCTGTTAAAAAAAAGTGTCAACTTGTTTGAACCACTTCATACAGATTTCCAAAATGTATTTTATCCAGTATAAAGAAAAGTTTTAAAAAATTTGTTCTTGTAAATTCGTATTAGGTATATTTATTATTTTTTCTCTCTTTATATTTATCATTTTATGGAACTCTGGTGACCCACTGGCAAGAAGCTGTGCTGCAATCCCAAAGGCTCAAGGCCACCAGACATATGTAATTATTATATATGTATCTATATGTTGTTGTTATGTGCTGTTGAGTCGCCTGCGACTCATAGTGGCCCTATGTACAACAGCCCTAAACCCTGCTCTATCCTGTGCCACTCGCCCTCCCTCTGACACACCCATCCCAATTACCCCAGTCACTGAATCAATCTACCTCATAGAAGGTCTTCCCCTCCTATACTGTCCCTCCACCCTCCCAAGCATGATGTCCCTCTCCAAAAACCTGTCCCTCCTTACAACATGTCCAAACCAAAGTATGTCAAAGCCCCAGAATCCTTGCCTCCAAGGAGCAGCCTGGTTTCACCCTCTCCAGGATCAATCTGTTTTCTTGGCAGTCCATAGTATATTCAATACTCTTCTCCAGCACCACAGCTCAAAGGCATCAATTCTCCTTCTATCCTCCCTAGTCATTGTCAAACTCTCTGATGCATAACAGGTGATTGACCTGTATCAGACGCCCTTTAGTCTCCAGAGTGACACCATTGCTCTTCAGTACCCTGGAGAGGTCCCTAACAGCAGACTTTGCCATTACGTTTTTTGATTTCCTGTCTGCTGGTGCCAAGAATGTTGACCATGGAGCCAAGCAAACTAAAATTGTTAACAATCTCAATCTCTTCACCATCCATCCTGATGCTGCCAATTGGTCCAGTGGTGAGAATCTTTGTCTTCTTGACATTGAGCCTCATAGAGATAAGAGATAGAGAGATAGAGATATAGAGGCAGATACAGAT